AGGAACCCTGCCTTAGTCCACCTGTCTTAAAGTTGCCAAGGTTGAGGAACCCTGCCTTAGTCCACCTGTCTTAAAGTTGCCAAGGTTGAGGAACCCTGCCTTAGTCCACCTGTCTTAAAGTTGCCAAGGTTGAGGAACCCTGCCTTAGTCCACCTGTCTTAAAGTTGCCAAGGTTGAGGAACCCTGCCTTAGAAGGTCTTCCAGACGGCCAACATCTGTGTTCCAACATCTCCAGGTGGTGAAAAGAAAACCACCGACCGAGCAAGGAGGAACGATCGAAAAACGGCTGGAAGTGAGAAGATTGCCACCCCAACCGTGGCTAGCAAAGTGATCCTAGGAGTCATCAGATGCCACGGCTCTCCACCTTCTGCACAGAGGAGATGGCTTAGGAGAGTCCACGAGATGGCTGCAAGGGTGGTCAGCCATAAATCTGAGGGCTACCGGATTGGGACTGCAAAAGTCAAGGGAGCCACTAGAGGGCAGTCAAGAGCCCAAACTGTCCAGATCTCTGGGCTGCCCCTGGTGGCCATCCGGAGTATAACAGCCCAGATCTGGCACCCCGAATACACTGCCTAACAGCAATGGTTATTCTTAGCCTACCAGTGGGCTCCATGGATGCTTCTTCCCATCAGTTTTTTTTTTTCCCCAATAAATCCCCAGGTTGCCCTCAACCCCAGGTTGTTTTATTTTCTAACGAGGCCTGTGTAAATAACAGAGCTCAAGGTGGTGCTTTGCTTGGCAGGGTGCAATTCCCCAGGTACCGGTTTTTAAATGAAAAGCATCTTAGGCTTAAGACTTTGGCAGGGAGGAAGGGAGCTTGGTGGGTATCCAGGCGTCAAGGTATCCATGGCACTCCCGGACATCCTTGCTCCCTCCACCCCAACTTTAGAACCTCAAATGTTTCGAAAGCTTTCAGGTTGAAACCCTGTGGACTAGCAACTTTAGAAACGTGGGAGTTTAGCATTCTCCGCCGGAGCAGATGCAGCTCGCGGATGACTCGAATTCCAAAATGCTGCCCCCACTTTGATAATAAGGAATCCATAAAATGTTGATGGCAGCCAAGATTTCTTTTCTCTGGGGTGGGGGGAGCAGTAACTGTCCGACCAGAGAAAACTGCGGGAAATCGACGAAAAGGAAAATCCCCATTGACACACACACACACACACACACACACACACACACCTCCCTGCAAAAAAGTGCGTGTCAGACCTCTGCCAACTCATCTGCAATTTCCATCCTTAAATCAGCTTTCAGCCAATCCATTTCTCAACAGCATCTTTTCTTCTTAAACGAAGAGGGAAAGAAAAAAAAGGGGGGGAACCCCCTAATCTCTTATTCATCAAAAGCCTTACGTCTTTCTGCATCAGCATTTTTCACCGAGCCCCTGCAACCAATCAGACCATTGCTAAAAAAAGGAGGTGGGGCTAATGCAGGGAAATTCAGTCCAGGAGGAGGGGAGATTAATATATATATATATCTATGGACATGCATACATCAACGCATTCTCTCAAACTCAGAAACTTCCTGAGGATTAAAACATAAAGCAAGAGAAAACTATCTGGGAGCGAATTTCTTCTTCTTCTTTTTTTCCCCACTGGTTTTTCATTCTAAACCCCTTCGTTTTAAAAGGGAAGCAAAGTCAGTGGATGACAATAGGCGTTTTTCTATTGCTTTTGAAGATCTGGAAGAGGAGCAGGAGCAGCCAGCCAGAACCCGGCACGCCAACCGGTGTCCCGCGGTCGTGGAGAAGGTTTTATCTTCGGCTCGGGGCAAAGAAGATCAAGTCAGCTGGAGGAGTGGGAGAGAACGTTCGGCAGCGGAAAAAAGGAGGGGAAAAAATCCTGCAAAAGACTGTTTTTCAGTTATTTCCACTCGGCAACTAAAATAGCAAGCAGAGTGTCTTCACACTTGATTTGATTCTTCCTCTTGGGGATCAAACCCCAGGTTGGATCAACTGAAGCGCTGCAAACAGCAGAGAGAATATTTTTTTGTATTTCTCACTTGGGCAACCTTGCTGATATTATCCGGTGCGTTCTTTCGTGCTGATTGTAGGGGATTCGCTTTATCCCTACTTTTCTCCCTTAAGATCACTATTTAGGGAGGTACCCCCATTTTTCTCTGAAGTTGACTTTTTAAAAATAGTTTCCCCCATGTTTCTTCTCTTGCTGTTCGCCTGTTCTAACGTGGCTTTGTCAGCCACCCAAAGGGGTTCTTTTAGCAGATATGATGAAGAAATAGTTTATCCCGAGAAACTGAATGTCACTTGGTTTTCTGCGGGTCAAGACCCGGCTGGCACGCTTGAGAATGAGAACTCCCTCGATTACAGCATTGACTCAGAGCAACATCTCTCGTTCCGACTCCAGATGTTTGGAGAAGAACTGATCCTCAACTTAGAGAAGGATCCAAGCTTCTTCGCAGAGGGCTTGACCGTACAATACTTGGGCAGACTAGGGCAAGTGATGGACAGTCCGACCGAACGTGGCAACTACTACACTGGGACAATCAACTCGGATCCAGAATCGATCGTGGCAATCAATTTTGACGGAATCTCTTTGATAGGGGTGCTGCAATACTGGGGTACCGAATACCACATCCAGCCTGCGAAAGGAGGAACCCCAAACGCGACAGGAGGAGCCGGGGCCCACGTGGTGAGAAGGAAGATGTTGGACAAAGGGGACGGGCCGATGTGCGGGGTCGGCGCGCAGGCGCCGGACAGCATACTGAGTGAAGAAGGAAAGGTTTGGGAGAAGATGGATCCATCCCCCAGGAGAACAAAGGTAGGGAGATAAGTCCACCATATCCACTAAGGGGTGGCTGGTGACGATCTTAATGCTCAAGATTTCTCACATGTGTTGGGTTCTTGGTTGAATCTTCTGAGTGAAAGGAACATGTCCTCATTCTTACAGGAGACCGTTTTCTTTGGCACCAAGTCCCCCCTTGTCTCCTCCTTCCCTCCACGTCCTAGCTTGCCCGTGCATTCCCTCTGCAGAGCTTCAGACCTGGTGGCCCATGTCGGGTGCCAGGATTAGCCCTCAAATCCAACAGGAGCAGTGCCCTATCACAGTTTGCTGCCGATTCAGAAAGGCATGCTATGGCTTAAGGGGAAGATGGGAAACTATGATGGCCAGAGCTTAAAAGGACTGAACCACAGTATGGCTGAAAGGAAGAGTGACGCTATTCCTCTTTCTCCATAAAGGCCTGGGAAGGGGAAAAGCAGCAATGCAAGGAAGGACAGAGATTGAAAGTGGGGTAGCTACAAGCCATATGCTTAGTCCTAATGTCCTCCACCATGAGCTACTTTTGGGGGGACTCTATGTGTAAAAGGTAAAGATATGTCTGACTTCACTCCCGGTGATTACACAGACCTCTGGGCAGTGACAAAGAATGGGCTATTCTTTGGGGAAGTTCCCCCCAATTTCTTTCTCCAGCCCATTGCCTTGGGATCTCCTGCTCATTCCCCCACCCAAGAACTAACCAGGTCCATACATCAATCTCTCACATCCCTTGTAACAGGGTTCCTGAACCTCGGCAACTTTAAGATGGGTGGACTTCAACTCCCAGAATTCCCCAGCCAGCCATGCT